AGAGATTTCTTGATTGTGAGCAGTGCCTACACGTGCCATTAAAAATGAATAACGACGAATACATTTGTCTTGGAAATTATGGAAGATTGTCGCACACGAAAATTTCGGAGATGGTAGAAAAGAAATTTTGAAAGCAACGAAATCTCTGTTCAAAAGATTATTTTTCCGCATATTACTGTTTATGATTGTGTTATCGAATTGAATTAATTAATTTATTTCGATTTCTTCAAATCATTAACTTTAAACCATTTATATTATTTTATAAGTTTCGAAAGTCTTATCAATGGTGACGAATTTTGAAATGAATAAAATTAATTAATTAGGATCTCATTGACAACATTGATTTTGAAATATCGTACATTATCTAAAAGGCGATATGAATACTTCTGTGGTTCGTTTCTATGATTCCATCATCTAATTTTGAAACGCCCTCTACGATTAATAAATATCTTTAGTCCCAAGTATAAATACAAACCTATCTAAATCAACTAAAAATAAAAAGAAACTAAATTAAAACGTTACACAAAGACTAAAAATTTAGTAGATACCAAATGAACAATTTCTATGATTCCTTTATCTAATTTTGAAACGCACTCTACAATTAACAAATATCTTTAGTACCGAGTACAAATGCAAAACTGTCTAAATGAACTAAAAATAAAGGAAACAAAATTAAAATGTTATACAAAGACTAAAAATTTAATAGATACCAAATGAACAATTTCTATGATTCCTTTATCTAATTTTGAAACGCACTACAATTAACAAATATCTTTAGTACCAAGTGCAAATACAAAACTGTCTAAATCAACTAAAAATAAAAAGAAACGAAATTAAAACGTTATATAAAGACTAAAAATTTCGTAGATACCAAATGAACAATTTCTATGATCCCTTTATTTAATTTTGAAACATCCTCAACAATTAACAAATATCTTTAGTACCAAGTACAAATGCAAAACTGTCTAAATGAACTAAAAATGAAGGAAACAAAATTAAAATGTTATACAAAGACTAAAAATTTAATAGATACCAAATGAACAATTTCTATGATTCCTTTATCTAATTTTGAAACACCTTCAATTAACAAATATCTTTAGTAGTAATTTTGAAACGCCCTCTACAATTAACAAATATCTTTAGTACCAAGGACAAATGCAAAACTCTCTAAATCAACTAAAAATAAAAAGAAACGAAATTAAAACGTTATATAAAGACTAAAAATTTAGTAGATACCAAATAAACAATTTCTATGATTTCTTTATCTAATTTTGAAACACCTTCAACAATTAACAAATATCTTTAGTACCAAGTACAAATGCAAAACTATCTAAATCAACTAAAATTGAAATGACTAAAAATCTTAGTAGGTATCAAATTTAACAATGGTGAAACCTCTTGCATCGGATACTCGCCTGCAGAGGAAAGGTGAACGTGAAATCGAGAAGATCCATCGTTGCTTCCGGCGCGCGCTCAGGCGCATGGAAGTCACGAGGCGGGGGTGGAAGCGACAGAGGTGTGCGGGGGATCGATGGGCGAGCCAACGTGCACCGCCTTCTCGTTTTCTTTCTTCCGCCGATTTTTTCCTTTTTCCCTCGCTCATCCCGTTCCTTCTCTCTTCCGTTCCACGCTCTCTCCAACCCCTTCGGCAACCCTTTCGCTCCCACGCTACACCTGTCGTGCCGGTAGTAAAGTTCTAGTCGGCGGACGAGTACGCGTACTCGACGCTGGTCTCGTGGCTTCGCAATAAATCCGTTTATCTCGAGTCTTTTGTTTTTATGAGCACTAGTTGGATCTTCTAACTTCGATACGTATGGTTTCGTGTCCTTTGGCGGAGGAGGGGAGATCATCGTTGTACCTGGGAATAGATTGATTAGGAAATGGGGATTGTGTATCGTTGATTTCTAAATTATTGTGACAGAAATCAATTTACAATAAGTAGATAAATAAATCAAGTTACACAATAAATTTGTAAATTAGTTGGTAACAGAAAATTGGGATATATCATAAAACTGTAGCATGTTTTATTATAAAAATCAAACATTGTTATATCATTTATATAATGCTGATATTAATTAACTGATAATAATTAACAATAGACATTAACATATATGACATATAACATGCATAAATTAATATATATACAACTACTACAGAAGGTCTCGTGAACAGTCATTATTTATTACATTATTGCATAAGTATGTACTAGTGGTCAGTAAAGATCAAATTCATATGTTCGTTTCATCATTTTACACTTGTATCAACGATCAATTCGTTCATTTTCTATAAGCATAGTGAAGCTGGAATAAATGCAAATATTATTTGGAAAAGTAAACACAATAAACGAAATAGGAATGAACGAAAATTGGATGTGGTCTCGCAAGTACTTACATAAGAAAATTTAAAAAATTAAAAAAATTTCTATAAGCATAGTGAAGCTGGAATAAATGCAAATATTATTTGGAAAAGTAGACACAATAAACGAAATAGGAATGAATGAAAATTGGATGTGGTCTCGCAAGTACTTACAAAAGAAAATTTAAAAAATTAAAAAAATTTCTATAAGCATGATAAAGCTGGAATAAATGCAAATATTAGTGCTATTAGTAATACAAGTACTTACATAAGAAAATTTAAAAAATGAAAAAAATTTTCTATAAGCATACTGAAGCTGGAATAAATGCAAATATTAGTACTGTTAGTAATACAAGTACTTACATAAGAAAATTTAAAAAATGAAAAAAATTTCTATAAGCATACTGAAGCTGGAATAAATGCAAATATTATTTGGAAAAGTAGACACAACAAACGAAATAGGAATGAACGAAAATTGGATGTGGTCTCGCAAGTACTTACATAAGAAAATTTAAAAATTTAAAAAATTTCTATAAGCATGATGAAGCTGGAATAAATGCAAATATTAGTACTATTAGTAATGCAAGTACTTACATAAGAAAATTTAAAAAATTAAAAAAATTTCTATAAGCATAATGAAGCTGGAATAAATGCAAATATTATTTGGAAAAGTAGACACAATAAGTGAAATGGGAATGAATGAAAATTGGATGTGGTCTCGCAAGTACTTACATAAGAAAATTTAAAAAAAATTAAAAAAATTTCTATGAGCATAATGAAGCTGGAATAAATGCAAATATTAGTACTATTAGTAATGCAAGTACTTACATAAGAAAATTAAAAAAATTAAAAAAATTTCTATAAGCATAATGAAGCTGGAATAAATGCAAATATTATTTGGAAAAGTAGACACAATAAACGAAATAGGAATGAACGAAAATTGGATGTGGTCTCGCAAGTACTTACATAAGAAAAAAAAAAAGAAAGGAAAATCAATTCCTGTAAAAATGTTACATTTACAACAGAAAAAGCAAAGAATTCTCCTGAATCTTCCTCTCAGCTTGCCAGTCCGAGGTCCCTTCCCTCTCGAAAGCATCCTGCTTCTAATCACGTCTCATCTCCGCGAGTTCTCTCTTTCTCGGCGGACTTTCGATTTCGCGTGTACCCGTTATTAAGCGGCCGGGTCGTACGTTAAGGGTCCCAGGGAATCGAAAGTGCTAATCTAATCTGTCTGGCCGATTAAAGGCCGGCGGTGAGTTCCGTGAGGGCCAACGCACGAAACTCTCCTTCGTCCACCTTTGGTCCACTTGCACGTAATTAACCATCTCCTTCCATTCGCCGCCGTGAACGTTGCCACGTTCGAACCCATTTCGCCGGGACATTTCTAATTACCATGGGGCAACGAATCGGTGCGTCAGCGGATATTTCTTCGTTTTCGTTTGTTTTCAGCTGACAATGGGAGAATCGTATTGCGAGGATCCGTGCAACCTTCCACCTTTTCGGCTCTTCTGCCTTGCGCGCACTTATGCCTCGTTCCTTTTTGCTCTCGTTGCCCGTGCTCGCGTTCACGTTGTTGGTTCGCGGCACGAGGATTGGTAGGCGTGCGCGTGCACGCCCGCGAGATTCCTGATAAACGAGCCGGCGTCCCTCGTTTCAAGAGGATTTCTTTCGCAGAAAACGAGGTCGAGCGTTCGAGGTCGTAGGCGGGGTCGGTGGTTCTTTTTTTTTTTTTTTTTTTGCTCGGGCTTTGCGAGATGTCGAGCATCGAGTTTAACGACCACGGAACGCGTGAACGATCGTGATTTTTTTTTTCATGGAGTGTGTGATATTTCGTCAATGAGCGCGAACGAAATTTGTTTAACTTCTTACGCTGGAATGACGTGCCACGCACGTCGAGAATTTTTTGTCCTAAAACTGCAACATCTTCTCAGTATATTTAGGAAAAACAAATAATAAATTTGTTACTTACGCAATAATTTCTATCTAATGATATCGTATGATACCGACGAGTTCAAAAAGAAAGCGAATTATTGTATACGGTTCGGTCACTCGTTATGGTCCGCCAATCAGTTGCCAGCGCAAGTGGTTAAATGTCTCTCTTCTCAAAATTCCTTTTATTGGAATGATCAGAGGCGGAAATACGAACACGTTCTTGCTATAAGAACAAGTTATCAAAAAATATTGTTAGCTTGTCATTCCCGATAAGATTGTTTGTAATTTGACGATGAAATGTAAAATTATCTCTTTCAAGAAAGCTTGAGAAACCGATAACAAGCGCGATATTGGGAAAGGTGGATGAAATTTCTTTATTCTCTTCAATGTACGATCTGTTCAAAAAGATTTAAATTTATAATTTATTAACAATTAAATATTCCATCGCAAAGAAATTCACAGATTGCATACAATTAACATCGACAAAGAAACTCTAGTTCCTTACCAGACTTATTCGAAGTTTCAAGTCGCAAGTAGCAACGTTAAGAATATCTATTTCCGATCTGATAAACTTTATCGAATATGAAGGAACGTCAATATCCAGTCGAATCGCTGCAACGCATCAACCTCAATGGATCCCCCTATTTATTGATCCACGTCCATTAAAACCGTTTGAAACAGGTGGCGAGGTAAGGTAGGAACGCAGAGACGAATGATTTCGATAGGTATTTATTTTCATAATGATGAGTGTTCTTTATAATCGATCTATAATATCATACATCATAGCATTCCGTTTATACATAATTACAATTGTAAATTCTGGTTTTTCGCCCTTACGATGTGTAATTAGTTAGTGGGTTCGTCGTGTGTCGCGAGCTGCCATCGTCTCTTTCTGCTCATTTCTCGATTCGCATCGCCATTCCCGGCCGAGAAACGTGAAAAATCGTTCGGGCGCAGGCGCGTATAGAAAAAAAAAAAAAAAAAGAACCTGTTCCCGGCCCTCCTTCCTCCATTTGTCGCCGCAGATCCTGACTGTGACGTATGCACAGACTACCAAAAATAAGGCATTACAACGTATGTACAACCGAAAGGTAAGAAGAAAAAGAAGAAAACGATCGGTCGATCGCCGTTCGAAACGGTTTTTCCTACGTTTCCTCGCGACTTGTCCGCGCGCGCCTCCCCGAACCCGTTCGATTTTTAATCACCTTCGACGCGATCGATCGACGATCGACTACGATCGAACGACAGGCGATCGTTCGATGGACAATAAGAAAGTCTCCGCGGCAGTGCCCGCTACTGGCCGCTGGCGTAGCGTGTGTGTTTTCTGTGTAGGATCCCTAGGAAACAATAAATAAAATCTATCTATTCTCATTTATCTAGCGCGAGACGACGTCCGTCAGCTTTGATTCAGTGGTCGATCGCTCTTCTCGATCGTTCTTCTCTTTTGTTCTCTTTTTCTTTTTCTTTTTCTTTTTTTTTTTCAATCCTTGTTCGCGTTCACTATGGATCGAGAGCTTTTGAGAGCGAGAGGATCGAAGAACAGTACGTGGAAAGTGATCTTGCGTTTAGGACTTTGTCTGAAATTTGGCTCGCGCCGTACGTGACGTTTTAGAATCACCATGGACAGAAGGAAAGGAAAGAAACTTTGAAAGACACTTTGAGAATCAACAATCGGAGAATAGTCAAAGGAATTTGAAACAATGATGGGAAGAATTTTGGCGCCTTAACGCAGCATACCCAAGAGTGAACGCGTAGTCTGCCATCTTGAACCCAGCTGCCTCGCAAGTAACTCAGTCATCGGTTCGACATCCCGGCCTGGATCGGTTCTCCGTTACAAAACTATCGTTATCATCTCCATTCCCTCGCGTCGCGTCGGTCGCGTCGAAGTAGCTTAATTGATTAATTACGCGATACATCGAAAAAAGGTACTATGTTTATATATACAGCGGTAGTAATTGATTACTGATTAAATAAGTGGCATATTTATACTAAACATTACGTTTATCACAACGATGATAAAATCAGCCGGAAGACCGAAACGAGGGCGCGTTCGATCTTTCCATTCGTCGCTTTTTCACCTCATCTCCGCCTACTCTCCCCTGCAATCGTCTCCTCATTCCGATCGTCCCCTCGATCCACCAGGGGGAAAGAAACGAGCGATTTGCCCGATTCGCCCGATCCAGCCTCCACTTTTCATTTTTTCTAATGCTTCGTGACACGCGATTGAATTGGAACAGGAACCTTCACGGAATCGGATAGACCTCCCCCCCCCCTCTCCCCCTCGCCCCTTTTACGTTAGGGGCTTGATTCGACGAGTTTCGATCATTCGCGTGTATCTGTATCGTATCGAACGGTACTTGTCATCGAATCGTAATTCAACTCGACTAAAAATGTTACTTCGTTTGGCGTGTCTCGTGAACGAACGGAGGGACACAGCCCTGGCAACGGAACTGGCCGATCGAGCGCGATTTACGCGATCGGGGGTGGACTGAATTTTTCGATTCCAGCGGCGTGGCCGAGGATTTCCGAATTGACTAGATTGGAGCACCTTGCGTTTGCACGAAAACTAACTCGAGAACCGGGATTGGAACCGGCGTTGTCGATCATCCCCCGATTGGCCTCGAAGGATGCCATAATTATACTGTCGCTGGCAAGTATATTCGCGAATGAAACGGTCGATTCGAATCACCTGGGTCCTGTTTCTTAAGTACTTTCGCTGAACGTTGTCCGAACAACCGCCGAACCGCGCCGAGATCGGCCCGAACCGTTTTGAAACTGTGACAGAAGGGTTGTCGAAGCCGCGCGAGTGGCCAGATTCCGGTTCCTTAGAAGGTCTCTCTCTCTCTCTCTCTCTCTCTCTCTCTCTCTCTCTCTTTCTCTCACGTCCACGATATTGCACGATATATTTTTTCGTCTAACGACTGGAACCTACACTCAGTCGAAATCTCGCGAGCCAAGTCTTCCGCTGACCTGCATCCGGTCGAAATCATCGACGATCGAAGTTTTGGCATCACAGTAGGGGATAATAGTCGCATCCGCGGAAGGAGATCGGTCACGAGCCGCCAGTCGACAAGACCGACAAATCGCGATGAGCCTGTGGATCCTTCGAATGGGCGTCTCTGACCGCTCTTGAGCCAAACACCCGGTCGCAGCCGGGTATCGTGCATCTGGCTTCCTCCTTTCGATCCTCGGAACCCGGCGAGGACATTGGCGAACCCGAGCCAGACGGATGTCTGTTCCCCTGTTCCTGCGACATTCTTGTCAAGTGGTTGAGATGCTGGTGAGTGAGCCCGTTCAGGCCGGCCAGGTGAGAGGCGAACGAAGACAGGCCTGAGAAAGTGGCTCCCAGATGAGGTGGCAGTAGAAGAGGATGCGGTGGTGGTATTCTGGCCGCGAGATCGACGGCAGACGGCAGTCCAGGTGTGAGAGGATAAGCACCAAGAGCACCGATGCCAGCATCCGCGTACAATCTTGCGAGGAACTCGTTGTGCAGTAACGGACTCATCTGAGCGTCGTCTACCCTGGGCGAAAGACTCGGTGGCAGGCTGGACGAAAGAGGCGGACTCGACGATGTGGACAAGAGCTTCCGATGGAGATTCAAGTTGGCCGAATGCCTGTCGCGAGACCTCTTGGAGGGGAAGGCCGCGTTGCAGCCGTCAACGCTGCAACGGTGCATCAGTTTCAGGTGGACGTTCTGATAGTGGGTCTTGACCCCGAAATGGTTTTGAAACACCTTGCCACAGGCTGTGCATCGGCGCGGATTCTCCCGGTCCAATGGGATCTCCTGGGTGCTGACGAAGCCACCGTTCTCGTAACGGGCATAGGTGATAAGGCTATTGTCCGTATCCATGGCCGCTGTGGAGGGTGAGGCGCTGGATGAACGAGAGCCACGTGAGGAATTGTCCATGGTGATCTCCTGGTGCGTCGTGAGGCTGACGGGGCTGGTAGAGCCGCGGCCAGACCTCGAAGCCACCTGCTGCATCTCGGCGTACTGCATCGCGCGACCCTGCGACAAGGACTCGAGTTGACGCAAAGTGTTGGTCGAGGAGTCGTGGGAGAGGTCGTCGGCTGTCGTCGGACGGCTATCGACCGAGCTCGGGGCACGGGAGGGATCATCGGGACGCTCACCTTCTTGATTACGCAGCGCCGCGTTCACCTCCTCATCATCATCATCATCCTCGACCTCTTCCATCGGCTCATCCTCCTCATCATCATCTTCCTCCTGGTTCTCTTCCTCCTTCCCCTTCTCCTCCGGTTCCTTCTCCCGTTTTAACGACACTCTCGCTGTCTTTTCGTCCTCCTTGGTCGTCGCCTCCTCGCTCTCGCTCTTCCGCCGATTTTCGGCCAACTCGGCGCAATTTCGATCTTTCTGGCCAGCTTCCGCCGTGGGACGAGCCTCAGTCGGTTGTTCGTGGCTCGTCTTTGGCTCTGGGCTGATCTGCCTCTTCGGCGATTTGACGCTACTCGCTCTCGAGCTCAAATCTCGTGGCTCGTCCTGAGGTAGATCCACCGCGTTCTCTTGCGACGACGCCTGCGTGTTGTCGCGTTTCACGCTGCTCGCCTGTGTCCCGTCTCTGGTGTTGTTGCACGCCTCGGGCGAGCGAGAGCTCGACTCGTGGTCGTTGAAGTTGAGATTCTTCGGGGAACTTGGCGACGCTTTTCGCTCCTCCGCCTCCAGTCTGGACATGGACATGTCCTCCGGTTGGCTTTGAAAATCGTTCATCGACGACGAGATTCCTGCGCCCTCCGACAGACAGCGTCTCTGCACTCGATCCTCGACATCGTTCGACGAGTCACCGTCCGTAGACGAGGAGTGCATCTCGGTCAAAACGGCACATCGGGTGGGATGTTGAGACTTTCTCTTCCGTACGCCCCTGCTGTGCAACGACGTCGAGTTGATCGAGTGTTGGCTGCTCACGGAGTAGCTCTGCTGGTCGATCGTGCCCATCGAGTCGTTGTCCTCGTTGCTGTCGGCGTTGCTCACGAGATCCTCATCCACCGGATCGCCGAAGTACAATTTCGGTCGCTTTGCCAAACTGAAGTCGGCTGGCTGCTCGTCGTCGTCCTCCCCGGAACGCAATGGCAGCCTGGAGGGTAGGTTACTCGCATCGTCTTCCGCAACAACTACGATACCACCGTCGTCATCGTCCTCCTCTTCCTCCCCTTCAGCAGCCGCGGTGGAGGCCTGAGTGGATGGCGACACCGTGTCAGCCACGCTGTTGCTAGAGAAAGATCCTCTAGCCGCAGCGGAGGTGGTGTTGTGCGTCTCTGCAGCGGTCGTCATCGCTACGCTGGCAGTTGTCAGCGCGTTGGTCGTCGAAATGCCTGCGTTCGCGTTGTTCATCCTCTGTTGAAGAGCCTCGTCGTATCCTGCCGGTCTACCCGGATTCTGCGACTGTAGGTCTAAATGCTTGAAGTCGAGGCCACAGAGCGACGCTGGCGATCGAAGATCGGGAGGTGGAGTCAGCAACGGAAACGAGCCGAAGGGAAGATGATTGAGACCGGTAGCTGGGACAGGCAGACCTACTTGCGGCGGCAGGACGAGCGCGTGCGCCATAGACGAGCGGCCATCGTGCGGCGAGATCTTCCGTCGCAAATGAGGCGAGTGAAGCTTCGGATTCGGATTGGCGCTGTGTCTGTTGCGCGACCGCCTCGAGCTGAACATCATGCTGCAACCCTTCACTGTACACTGGTGCATCTCGCGCAGGTGGACAGCGCTGAAGTGAATCTTGAGCGCGCCCTTGTCACAGAACGTTTTCAAACAAACGTTGCATTGCACCCTTTTCTTGCCGGTGGTGGGATTGATGAAAGGAGTGCCGAGATTCGGCGGGATGTTGGCCGACGCGCCCCATTGGCTACCAGGCCGTTTGCCAGGCGAGTGAGGCTTCCTTCCCGGTATTCCCGGTGGCCTGCCGAGAGGAGCAGCTTGAAGAGGTAACGGTGGATGGTGTCGCTGCTCGGCGATGTGCTTCGATGCAGTGTCCCGTCTGCTGAGATTCAACGCGCTGTCCGAATTCTCGTCGTCTTCCTCGTCCTCCTCCGAGCCGAATTCGCTGCTCTTCTCGCCTCCGCTGTGCACATCCGCTGGCGCCACTGTAATACCCGGCACCGAGCCTGACGACTTGCCCAACGGCGGCGGTGGAAAGTGAGCAGGGAAACTGGGCGGCAGAGCGCCGGAAGACACCGCCACTGAGAGAGGATGCCCGAAGTTGAGCGCGGAGGAAGACACCGGTGCCACCGGTGGCATGTGAGGTGGCCTTTGTAGCTGATTGCTGCTCGAGTGGTGAGGCGGACTGTGCGGGCTTTGCGGATTTCTCATGGACTTCCTGCTCTGCAGCAGCTGCTCGGCCGAGGGTGGCGGCGGCGGTAGCGGCGGGAATGCGGGTAGTCCCAATGTTCCTAGCTTGCGAAAATCAAACGGCTGCATGCTCTGCAGCCGATTGAGCGGCGACACCGTCAGATGAGACTCCAGGCTCCTTGGCGGCGAGTTGGCGTTGCTCGTTACTCCAGAGTTGCCGGTGGACGACGAGGAATAGTGTTTTTGAGCCGTTGGCGACATCGACGGGTGCGAGACGGATGGTGGAGGCGGCGGCGGAGGCAGAGGAGGCGGCAACCTCGAGCCTGGCGGCGGGAGACCGCAGTGGAGTAGGTGTAACGGCGGTGGTAAGTGTGCTAGTGGCATCGTCGGCGGCGAAGGTCGTCTGCTTGGTGACATAGCATCCGTCCCCGGCGTTCCGGCGGCCAGCAGCAACTGCTGCACGAACGGACGCGTCTCGACGAATCTGAGGAACTGCTGCAGTACCAGCGGCTCCTCTTCAGGAGAACAGATGCTCCATCGGTCCAGCACCGGGCCGTTCTGCGAATCCTGTAAAACGAAAACAAATCCATCTTTTGTTATTTTCATCTGTTGCTTTACTACTCGCCTGTGCAATGTATGTAGAAAGTATACGATATTGTACTTGAAAATACTTCTGTCTTATAAATTTCATAATTATACAGGATTATATGCTTCGTCTTTGTCCTCAACTAAACAATTAGCATGTTCCATGATTGAAAATAAGAAGAAAATTCGTTTAATTCTGCTTGGAAATGTTGATAATATTTAATTGCGTTGTCATGTTGTTTATTTATTATAATAATATATAGGTATCTATAGATATATTAATTGAATAATTTTAGTATTTCTACTGCAAGTTTTTTAACAGAGTATTTACGACCCTATGTTTATATATATATATATATGTATTTATTTTTTTTCTCATATATAAACAAATGAACCTGTGACCATTTGAAACTACAAAAATTATTATCAAACCTGTCTAATTATTATCAATGTAATTTAACGTATATATGAAAATTGTCAAACGATCTAAATCGTTAATATCAGGCGTTGAAGAGTCAATATTGACTGAAATATGTATAATATAATATCGGATATGCATTAGAATCGAATAATTTCGAATCCAACTATTGTGTCTCGCTTACGATTCAAAGGTATCATCGGAAGATTAATAAATTACGTATTTATAAGACACTGCGTAATTTCAAAATCTATAAATATCGATGAATCGTAATAATTTATGATTACAAAGTACATAGATGTGAGTACAGTTTTACAAACGTGCAATCAAGTTCGAGTTCGACGTAAAGACGTTGGGAGGAAATTACATCTTCTGGTAACGCGTGACAATTATTCCGGAACAGTTTTCAATCTATAAACGCAGTAGAACGTATTTAGAGATTAGGCATTATGCGCCGCACGCAAAGTGGCGGAAGTCGTTTCGCTTCCACTTGCAATTCCGCGTTTTACGGTCGACACCGTGTTTGCAGAAAAGTAGTATCAAACACGCGTTCGTAAACATTTCTGCGACTCTTTTCACTCACTATGTCGTAGAACAATTACGGTATTTAGAAATATTTAAAAAAGTCACTTCTTTCCTGAGTATGTATATTATTTCTTTTTATAGCTCATTTCACTCGTTACTTAATATTTTTTTCTTCATTCGTCGTGATTAGCAGTTTTTCGGTTCGTAGCTAAAAATTTCAAACTCCGAATTCCTCCAGTTGTGAAGAACGAAATCGGTACGCGACCATAAATTCAGAACAAACTGTCAACTGTGACGTCAACTGTTCGAGAAAAAGCGTGAAATCCGCAAAAACGCCTGTGTGTCACGGCCGACAGTGTCAACGAAGCGTTGCAAAAGTATACGAGACACCGTATTAATAAACTTCCTCCGGACAGTGATTTCCATATCTACGTATAATCGAACGATAGCTAATCAATTATCAACTCGTGTCGATACCAGCGTTCTTTTTTTTTTTTACTTGTCCCCGTCGTACGATCAATTTCTTCCGATTATATTATTGTACTGCGCTGCTTGACCGCGAATAGAAGAAAAAGCAAATCCTTTTATCCCCGTCTCTAATTACGGGTAAAAAAAAAAAAAAACCAGTCTTATGATAATTCCGCGCTTGAATAAAAACGCTTCCTTTATTGGACAAGAGTTGAAGGTTGCTTAGGTAATGAACATGTGCACAGGACGATTAATGAGAACGGATCGATGAATTCATTTATCCTCTTTAACGCAATTAGTTCTAGGTGGATTGTCGTATCCGTTGATTGCAATTAACAAGAACTAGAAATTAGAAATCAATCCTTGCTCGTTAACGATAACAAACAGTTTAAAATGTTAATCTTGAGAGAGAGAGAGAGAGAGTGATGATTAGATTGCGACTGATGATTGAAATTTTTAATTAGATTAAGTTATAAAATTACAAACCTTGGAGATGACAAACGATTAATCACACATGTTGCTAATGTTCATCAACGTATACGAAGAACATTATGATTAATACAATTATTAAAATTACCAAGTTTTTAGCTTGAATGTAGATGAAATTGAAACTGAAATTTCTAAATGGTGTATATAATCCACAAAATAATATTAATCATACTGTTAACGGTTATATTAATTATTAAAAACATTTTAAAATAACGAGGAAAGATAAGGTATACCCAATAGAAACAAAGTTACCTGTTTTTTCTAAATTAAAATGTTCGAAACGAAATTTATTAAAATTCAAATTATCGAGAGAGAGATTATCGATAATTTCCTGCATAACTCGGCCCATTTCTATTTACTATAAAATTCTCTTTCTTGATGGAGCGTCATATTTTAAAAGAGAAATAATCGTATGATATTGCAGTAGCATTCTCCGACTGAAAGAAAGTAGGACTACAAATGGAACGTATATATTATCGGAGATAGAACTCACGTCTAAATTCCTCGTTCCTTCGTTTCGGTCGTGGAAAACATTATAAGAAGCGGCAGATAGAGGATGAAAACAAAAGACAAAATCCTGTTAATTGAATCGTTATTGTGTCTAATAAATTATACGTATCCGTTTTACAGATGAAAAACCAAGTCGAAAGAAGGAATTACAAGATTACGAGCTTTCTATTAGTAAATACAAAAGAAAATACTTTCGTGTCATTAATTTCGGTCGGCTATCTCCCATTTTAATGCACGCTCGAAACCTCAATCAACAATGATAATATATTGGTTCCTCGACAACCGTAAGGATATATACTTAATTCGACGAAGAATTTCAAAGAAGAAATCGCTTCGAAAATAAATGATCGAACGTGCACATCTGTGGAAAGAAAGTAATAATTTTCGTCGTTTAGTGTTCCTCCACTTTTTTTGTATACGATCATTGTCCGGCCAACGACGTGTTTCTAGATTCGCGAAATATGCAGCTAAAGTCGCCAGTTTCTCTTTCGTGTTGTACATTTCGATTAACTGGTTGTTCTTTCGCCGAGATTGCATCGATCGTTAATTTTTCACCAAAAGATCTTTCAGTCGTTGGACTAAAGATAAGTGATATATAATCTAAAAATTGTTATTAACCTTTTGCAAACTCTCGTTTGCATTTACGTTCTCTGGAAAGAAAAGAGATAAAGAGAATTGTTTCATTATTTTTGCATAATTTGACTGGTGAAAGAATTGTCGAAAATAAAGAGATTCTTCTGTCACAGTTTTTAGAAAGAGTTTGCTCGCAGAGTTTGCTTGAAGAGTTTTTTAAACTGCTTCAACGGCTCATTGTAATTATGATTACAATATTATTATGTAGCATTTCGACATATAATCTCTGCGCAATAATGATATTATAAATTTTTTTTTAATTATATTATTATTAATATTAAATTATAAATTTCTTTATAAAATCATTAATAGAATTCTTGAATTTGATCATCACTCAATGATGGAGACTCAATTCGTAAGTTTCTTCATATTTGGAGAGAGATTTTATTGTTTATTCTTTACAGAACTGTTCAACTATATTTTTTTTTACAAGTAGAATTACCAAGTCCTCTGCGCGTTGTATAGACTCTTAATATTTTATACTCCGTTTCTAATAGACTACTCTATTAAAATATGATCGCTATGAATTTTAATAGAGTAAAATAATCTATGTGACGCATATGGTTGAGAGATTAATGCAAGTATCTCCATCGTTCAAGTCTCTGTTTTATAAATACTGTTCTCTAAATCCAGATTCCTTTTCTGTCAATTTGAAGTATTTTTCTTACATCTTTTAAGAATAATGTTTCCCGACTATTAAACTGTCCAAGTTGACTGTTGTAATTAAGATAATATTTAGCTTACTTTGGATGCGCAAAATTACTAAAAGTCCAAAATGAAGCCTGTAATAAACGAAGAATGTGTTACTCTTTAAACGTACATCTTCTGATATTTTTGTCCAACACATTGTAATATCAGCTCATTTACGTAATAAACACTCTTCGAGGCTCCAATAAGTGAGCCAATTAATTCAATTTTATTACTCTAGCGCGAAATAAATAAACACTCAAAGGTTACTGTTCCAGTACACCTAGTAACTTTCATTCCATGTAATTTTTGTTCTCTACGGTATCTTCGCGCCAAAGGCACGCGTTTTAAACAAATGTAAATAAATGAAATAATTTTTTCCGGTGACGACGGCACTCGGTTTTGAAGAGTCTCGCGTGGCGTGCACCGTAACGTCACGTTCCAACACCGGAAGGTGAGTCGCAGCCTCCTTCTAAAATCAGGGTGGCCAACGCGAATATATAGACGCGTCCCTGCCGACGTCGAGTTTGTATATTTACGCATACCGACGGGCCCGACGTAACGCAGGACGGCCACGGCGGCGCGACGCTTTTCGCGTCCCGCTGTATATTTCTTCAAGCACGCACACGCGGCCGCGAAACGACGCAGCGCCGCGTCGCAAACTCTCGCTGTGCGAAGAACGACGCCACTCGAAACTCGAGGCGAGCGCCGCGTTATTTTTCGCGCCCGGTTTCGACGCGACGCGAACCTTACCCGAATATATACGACGCGGGACTTTGTAACACGAGACACAACCGCCATTTTCTCTTTGTCGCGCGTGGCGATCCTTTCCGATCGTTCGACTCTTTTCGTTCAGTCCAGTTCGTACAGAGTCATACTTGTCAATCAGTTGACTACAGCGACGATCGGTTTTCTTTTTATTTTTCTTTGAGATACGGTGAATATCGTTGAATAATTAAGCAATGAAAATAGAATATTTTCCGAAAGTCTGATGTTTTTATGAGACAAAGAAGATTTTAACCCTTTGTGCGCTCACCGAGAGATTAAAAGTTTACATGTTTCGGCATCTTATATGTACTTGCTTTGTACGAACGTTTGTGTTATTTTACCATTTGCGAATCGCTACAAGTTAGAGCACGAGAAATGTTCAAACGTTCTTGCACCGTGTAATAATATTGCTTGTTTCCTTTGAATTTAGTATTACTTTAAATACAGTATTTTTTTCAAATATCTTAATATTTCTTTATTATAT